TTGTGAGGATCTAGCCCTAAGGGCACTCTATAACTTGAAAACCACCCGGGCTTGTTAGCTCGTGTCCTTATTGTGAAATCCTTGCCCGCGTACAAGGTACTTTTGACCAATAAATTGACTATAACTCATTAGTTTATTGGAGATTTGGAGAGATATTTTAACCATAATCTCCCCTATCCTAGACTAACATTCTCTGAAATTTTGGTTGAAATCGGATGAAAAATAACAGAATTCGTTTCTGAGGGGGGGGCCCCCCTTAATATAATAAATCATTTCAATGGTTAGACTAATATTGATAAAAATAAGATTTTATTCAGTTTATTTATTTTAATTTAATTGAGTTAACCCTTTGCTAGTGTTTTTTTTTGTTAAAAATCTTTCTATAGATTTATAATGAAATTATTTTATGTTATTATTGTTGAGTTAAGATAATAATTATATATTATTGTTTTTCATTAAAAAAAATCTTTATTTAGAAATAAAATATCATTTATTTTGAAGAGTATTCAAATTGTTAAAAAGAATTTTTCAAATTTAACCAAACGTTTTATATTATTTAAATAGATTGAAAGAATAGTTTTCATGTTCGTAGAACTGAAAAACCCAAACTTTCATATTAAATTTTTATTGTTATTTTTTCAAAGCTAATTTAAATAGTTAACTATCTCCTTGCATTTGGTCAAAAATGGGTTATTTATTATATAAATCGATTTCTAGATGAATCTATATTGATTATCTTATTATATATAAAGATTGACAACGAAGATTATTTATTATTTTAATAATCTATCCTAGAAATATTATATTGATCTGAACAATTTTGGCACAATTTATTTCTCTCTACTGAACGATCGCTAACAAATGATTAATATTTCATCCGATTTGAACGTGTTTTGTCGAAAATCTATTTTTAACTGCTAGATAGAAACGTTCTATAAGACGGAATAATGATAAAATAGTTCGAATTATCGATTAAAAATTTCTAAGGAAATAAATTTAATCGATCCTTATAAAAATGTTTTGAAAATAAATTTATTTGAATAGGATATTTATCGATATGGTTAAACAAAGAGATTCGAAAATAAAAAATGAAAATATTTTGTTTTTTTTGTATTTATTAATATAGAAGTGATGATGTACCTGATTAATACAATCGAGTTCGTTATATTCCAAATTCTTGTAAAGTATTGTCTGATCTTTGAAAAACAGATAAATATTTTGTAAGTTAAATAATTAAATTAAAAAAACAAAAAAATAATAAAACAAATGTTTAGTTAAATAAAAGTATTGATAATAATGTATCAAAATCATTGAAAGAATTTCGTTTGATTGATGTTGCACGTTGTTATCGTTCTCCATATAGAACAAATGGTACTTTATCGATTTTACATCAAACAATTGATGATTTAATTCAAATACATGATTTTATTGATTCAAAAAGAAAAGAATGGCTTAAACAATTTAAAAAAATCATACGAGCAAGCTAGAGATAAACAAGTATTTATTTATTTATTTTTAATATAAGTCAACTATTCGTCAAACAATGACTGAACTAAGAGATAATTATGAAAAAGCTCAACGAAAATTAGAAACAGCTGATGTCAATTTAAAAAAAGTTTCTGTTTTTATTATTTAAAATAAAAAATGTACTAATTGTTTTGTTAAGATTTCAAACACGATCTGATCGTTTAACGTCAGCAAATTTTGATGAACGTTTACGTAAATGAGAAGATATTCGTTGTGAATGTGAACACTCTCGAACATTATCACGTGATATATATGCAACTGAAACATATAAAATAGTTAGTGAAGAACATTCAATTACAATTAAACTTTTTTATCAATATCTATATGAAGAAAATCAATTTTATAATAATATATCTCGATATTTATCATCAAAAATGCCTGAAATTGAACAAAGATTAGAAAATGATGATTTAATTCCATTATTTGGTTATGATCTTATAAAACATTGTTCAAAAAAAAAAGAAACATTAATTGCTTATCCAATTGAAATATGTATTCGTCTATTAGAAAATAGTTTAAATGAAGAAGGCCTTTTTCGTATTGCACCATGACATGGAAAACAAAAAAAATTGTTGTTGAACTTAACTTACAAACAATTGATAGAGGAACAACATTAAATGAACTTAATTATGATCCACATGTTCCTGCAAGGATACTTAAACAACATTTAAGAGAACTTCCTGATTGTTTACTTACAACTGCACTTTTACCACAATGAAATGAGATTATTTCACTCAGGTTAACACTTTTTCTCTTTTTCTTATTCAATTATCCTAAACAAATTTATTTTCATTTGTTGACCTCTAGTAAGGAACTGTCCCTTATGCACTGCCGATGCTCTCTTTCTGTCCCATGGGACGCGGCAAGAAGTTAGCTCTGGAGTCTTTATTCATTTACATAAATGAAAACTTGTTTATTTGAATTAATTATTTTGATGAGTTTATGGAACCTTCTTTCATTTTATAAATTCATGTTAATGATATCATGTGTGGGTATAAATTGTTGAGGATTATTTAGAAAAGGTAAGAGAGCATCATAATGATTTCCGATGAAATAAATGCATAAACTCAATTTGTTCATATCTGATTTGTACCCAATATATTTAAGATGACCGCCTGCGATTCCTTTATCGAATCGATCGATCAATTTTTGTAGACTGATATCGGATGGAACATAGTGTCCGTTTTTTGAATCACTGTTAGCTTTGACATATGAATAAATAGGTTGACATAAGGCTATAGAAAGGGCTTGAATTTGAACTTCTCCACCCCATTTTTCGTCCGTAGCTGTTCTTATCATCTGTTCTTCAAATGAATAGTTCAATGCTTTGCAAATTCTTTTAAAATGATCACTATTATTAATCATTGCATTAACTACTAATAGCCTCATTGACTATGCTAGTCTTTCAAACCAATATTAAGTATCGAAAGAGAATTATATAAACAATTGCCATCTTCAGTCGTGCGGGTTCTTGCGTAAACCGAGTCAAATGCTTGAACAGAATATTCTGTTTTCTGTCTTAGTTTAACAGATTGATCTTTGTTATGCACAGTTATATATGATGATCTTTCAAGTGAATGATTAATTATTTGAGCTTGCCTTAAAATTTGATTTATGACCACAGTATTATTATTAATATCATGTACAGAAAGAAAGTGATCAAGAATCTTTCTTGAGTTTAAATCAATGATTTCATGACTTTCGAAAGAAGATTTCCCCCTATAAACTTTCATTATACCATATTCATCATTAATTTTAAGATCTTTGAGATTAAAACATATATCTGTATAAATTTGTTCGTTTTCATCAACATGAGATCCAGTCACAATTGGATGTTTTCTTATCCATATCGGGTGTGGGTATCTTGTGAAAGAAGATTCATATTTACATCCACACCCACATGAAGATTTAATTAACAATTTAGAAACATTATTAATAAATTTACAACAAATAGAATTTGATAAAGTTAAACAACTTGAATTAAATGATATACGAAATGTATTTGATGAGAAATTAAGAGAAAAATTTATCATTATAAAAATAGAAAAAAAGAATATTTTATTGAAATACTTGTAGAAATCGAACGAGAAAGACAAGAACAACAATCAATTATTCAAGTTTCATATAAACAATCATCATAAGATAAAGAGAAATCATCTACATCAATAACAACAAATGCAAAAGAACAGCAAAAATCTAAATAAAATATTCATCTTATGCTTATAATGTCTTAATTGATTGAGCATCGTTTAGAATTATCACAATATTGAAGTTGGGATCTGCAAAATGACTTTTTTCCAGTCCCGGTCCCGGTCCAAATTTTTTTCGCGTCCGGATCTTTATTATAGCTAGAATTTTTTGTTTTCACATATATCAAAACTCAAAATCGGTTTTTCTTCAGACTATACACGTCCTACAAACATGTCGGCTGGCAAAAAGTACTATTAGAAGGTGAAAGGAATATCTGTGATTTGAAGAAGTGTCTTAGGATCTGCGAGACTAGGACTTCTATTTTCACGGCTAGTTTCAGAATTTTTTTGCAAGATTAAGCCTAAGTTTTATGTTTATTTTTCTATTCCCAATGAGTAATAAAGTTTTTCTCAAATATAGATGAGTACAACAAAACTAAACGATTCACACTAAAAATAGCGGAAGCATGATAAACATTGTACAAATAAGGGGATGTTGAAACTGCTATCGAATGAAATCTATGGAATTTGAAGTAAGATACAAGATTGTACAATTCAGGAAGTTCTTGTTTATATGATTTATTTTAATTAATCATCATTATCCAAATATATTTAATTTTCTCCAACTATAGTTTCATTTATTCAAAAAAATTTTTAACAAAAATTATATTTATAAGAAAGGAAAGTATATATGGAAATTTTCTGGACGAACAAATGGTTCATTTATATGAAGGCCTTTTACTTTACTGGAATTGAGACATGACATATCATTGGTAAAATTGTTTGTTATCATTGCAAGTGATTCATATCCAATGTAAAGATAGAACAAACACGGCAGATGAGTATTTTTTCTGAAGAGAAATTGTTCAGCATAATCCACATGTGCCTCGTGCAGATGGAGAAGTGTGAGATGCGAAAATGTAACCAACTCTTGCTTATCTTTTTGTGATTGATTATTACATACATGTATATATATATATAAATTTGAGAAAAGAAAAATCTTGAGAGATAACTTTAAAGAATTTATATTCAAACGGATGCGTATCAGTCATCTTCAAATATCGAACTTTATTAAACATACCACCTTGAAAAGAGTTGTTGAGATAAAGAAAATATTCGAATTGAAAGGAAAGTGAGTAAATATGACATGTGCCTTTCATCTTCATCGATTCAGTATGTATGCATGAACCAACTTGTCCATATCTTCTTCCAATAAAACTATGTTGAATATCTTTATGTGATGACAAATGAATATTATTGTTGACAACAACTGTAATTATATTGAATGTAAATTTATTTAATCGTGGCATATAAATAAGAAATTGATCATATAATTGAATACCATCAATAAAAGTCGAGTTAAATCTGATTATTGATAGAAATAATATCAATTTTTCAAGATTTATCATTCGACAAAGTAGTGGAATAATTAGTTTGTCATAATGTATTGTGTCATCCAACGATGTTAATGAAAAATGTTTCAATCTCGGAAGTTTTTCCTATAAAGAAAAAAGAAAATAATTAAATTAATGTTTTTTTTTTGTTTTCCAAAAAAAATGATAAAAATAGCTTACCGTGTTATATTTACGTAATGACATTACGCAAATATGCTGTACATTGATAATCAATCTCGATAAACAATCGAGACAACCATCAAGAAGACAAAGACAATCACGAAAAGTTTTGATCTCAATTTTCAGTTTAGTTAAAGTTGAAGACATGCAAATTTTTGATGGTCGGGTAACAAACCAAACAGACAAAGTTCGATAATGAAATAATTGACAAAAATTTAAACTGGTTAATCTTTTACTTAATGATAATATTAAGGCAAACTTTTCTGAAAGACTTATAGTGGTTTGTGCTATTATATCATACTGAATATCAATATTAAGATCTGTAATTTGTTCACTAAGAAGATTACGAAGAATAAAATCACCTTGAATTTAAAAAGAACAATGATTATTAATTTCAAAAAAAGGAACATTTTTTCTTTAATCATCACACCCTCACTCTCATGCAGTGCGTGTATACCACTTCAATCAATGTGAAGATGTGATTAAAGCAAAAAAAATGTACCCAAAAAAATAATATACCTTTTAAATATTGAAAAAGTATTTCTTCTTGAAAATTAACAAGTGATAACGAATAAAGTTGAGAATAATTAACAGTAAGGATAGATTTTATGGAATATGAATCAACAGTCAATTTATTTACTTGATTATGAATTCGAGGTAAGATATTTTCATAAATTCTTGAAAAAACTTTATTGTATATTGAAATTATCTCATCAAAGGGTAATTCGATAGTCATATCAAGACGATGAATATAAAGAGGATCAATTACTAATCGATCAAATCGTTCATTAATATTCACAAGTGAATAAAGAGTATCAACCATATATAGTTTCTTGAAAATATTGATTAACATTTCATTAGACAAATCGAGTATATTCAAATTATTATTATTTGAATTATCCATGTCTAACTCAAACTATGTGTTCGTGTCAATCTATATATGTCATCATTTTCTCACTGCCATCTGTGAGAACAATGAAGAATAAATATTAATACCGTCATGTTAGTATATGTTGAATAGGTGATGACATTTTTCTTTCAGCTACACATTTTCCATTATAGTTGATGATTGGTTCAACCGTCAGGTCATTCTTCTTTTGTCAAAATGTTTATCATGCAGTGTAAAAATATAGAAAAGGGAAAATGTCGAAGAATATCGACGCGAAAAATGGTCAAAAAGTATTTTACAAAAATTTTGACTAGCGAAGGACATGCTTTATTGTATGGGTCAATACTAACATTCTAACAGAGATCAAACATAAGTCAAGAGGGTGTGAGTGTGGTATGGATCTGAGCAAGTAGAAGATCCAAATTCGCACACACATCCACACCCGCACCCAATCGATAGAGCTCATCAAGCTGCATTGAATGAACTATGTCTCATAATTAGCTCACAAAGTCGAGCAAATCGTCACGGACTCTACTGCTCCGGATCCCAATTTCTAGCATTTCAGGCATGTTGTACCCAGAGTTTTGCTTTCATTTCAATGAAACATATACCATTCGATAGAGTGCATTAAGATACATCGAATGAGCTATATCTCATGAATGGCTCACAAAGTAGAGCGAATCGTCAGAGAAAACCTTTTGTTAATGCTTTTTTCCTATGGGGAAAAATTAGTATTTTTGTTTTCATTTGAATCGGATAGCTTTCATTGAAAATTCGATTACACTATTTGATAGAGCTCTCCGAGCTGCATCTGGCTCACAGGATTCCTACCTGAGTTGGCTCACTAAATGGTGCGAATCGTTTTGAAAGAAACTCGAATCGGCTGCTAACTTCCCTCATATCATGAAAATCAATTTTGACAAATGCAAAATTTTCAAATATATCAATTGATTAGAGCTTCGAACAGAACGATGTTAAAAATGAATAAAAATATTTAATCATATTGACAATCGACATACTCAATGACAAAACAGACATCTTTAACATATTCTTATCGATTACCAGCCAATGCACATAGACCAAATTCTTTTGTGAACATCGCTTTTTAGTTCTGAATACTTCAATTTTCTTTTCTAAGAAAGTACATCAAATGAACATTATATTCAGTAATTCTCAAGCAAGTGTATTGAAAAAGAAAATAGCTACAGAAAATTATATAAATGTCAATTAATCATTCATTAGCTCTTAGCCAATTTGTTCTCTTATCTTTCGCTGCATTATTGACTGCTTCTTCCTTAATAACAAGTAGTTTTTTTGATTAGATATCAATACGATGTGACAACAGAATAAAGGAATGAGTCGACAATTGGTTGCACTCGTCTCATGACATTTTTCCATACTTCCAAGAGTATGAAAACAATAGCAATAGTGGTAACATCGACCAGTGGTAACATATGAAGAATATTTGTTTCATTAATAATTCTTATCAGTATCGAATATAATCAAAGGATACTTTCAAGTAATTGAGATATACTAAGCCATCGTACAATAACTTCTTGTTTTATTGCTTTTACCTCTTTCTTGTGAAGTTTTATTTAAACTGACCCAGACCAAGAAGATAATACCAAAATAACATCATGTGATAAGACAATTGATGTCGAAAATTTACACGTTTAACCTCAAAACACAATTGTTTGCATTGTTTGATTGAATACGGCATATGGTTAGCATGAACGCGCACGTTCTGCTTAAGACCATCGATACGGTTAGTTTGAGCGTGGATGAAGGCAAATTTCAAAGCTCTAACTTTTAACTGTTCGGACTATAGTAGAAGATTGCTATCACTTTTCAATGCAATTCATGTGAATTGATAATTCTCTTTCTTTCTTGTCACTTTTTTCTCCTGAAGTATGTTTTCATGAGTGTCGGCATTATAGAACGTTCGTTTTATCATATTATTAAAAATATGAGCAATACCATTAAGGGAAATTATCATCGTCTAAGGATTTGATAAAATTGCTGCTCCAATCTAATACAAAAATAATACCATGAATTGCAATGTCAAATTGTGAACGTTTCAAGGCAGCTTTGATTGTCTATTGTCAGAAAGATAGAGTCAAAGTAAAAAAAGTATATACACGGTAGAGTAAACTTTTGTTCCATACCTATGAAATACTATGAATCCGCTTCTTGATTTCAATATACAGTTCACAAGAGTGATCGACTGTGTGTAGCTAACGATTACTATTAATGAAACGAGCTGTTAGCTCAAGATAATAATTTTCTGTTTTAATCTATTCCTCCATACGTCTGATCTAATTACCAAGGGTTTCTTTTTTTGCTTCTTGGATCAATTCAATCTTTAACTATTCACGAACTTCGCTTGCTGGTCATCCAATTTCTCGAGTCATTATCGGTCTCCATGGTACAACATCATTGGCTGGTATATGGCTGAGAAATGACACTGGAAACATTGAAATGAAGACATTGAAATATTGATGACAAATTTTAAGTCCACTTACTACTACTTGAATTAAGACATTGTTGAATGGAAGTAAGGAAATCTTCATCTTCCACAATGCTAATCAGACATGCATTTCCACAATTAGACTAATTAGAATGAATATGACTAAGTCTAGTCAGCGAGTGAGAACGTTGCATAAATAATATTCATATACTTGAAGATAGATGTGTATTGTTTGGCATAAAGACTTGCACTAGAGTCATTGGCTTATTAGGGGACACAATTATGTGCCAATCAGATGATGTCGATGGCGGGTGATTGGTGAAGAACGCGAGGAAGGAAGAGAAAAAGAACAATACGAAGTGAAATGATGAGATGATGAACGAAGGAAAATCGGAAGAAAGATATTACTGCAAAGTGAAGAGATAAGAGCATGAACACAGGAGGATAGCGGAACACAAAGGAAATAGAGATCAGAACGGTCAACATACATTTAAAAATGAAAGAGGAGTGTAACACAAATAGAAAGAGGATAGAGAGCAATATATTCTCAAAAGCTTGTCAGCGTAGCCTGTTTGGGACTAAAATGTGGAACTCACATATTCCCTCTAAGCTAGAACACAATCTAGTATAACTGGCTGCAAGAGAAAAAGTATCCATTAAGCTTTGGAGCCCTTCCGCTCCCGTTGCCAAAAAAAATGAATCCAATAACCTCTGAAATATTCCTCCCACAGATTGCTATGGAAATGTACTTGATGATCTTTGACAGTGCTTGCTGTATACAATAGAAGGTAGAGGAGTCGGAAAACTTTGCGTTAAAACTTACACTCTTTATGTTTCTTCGTAAAATAGGTGAGCTCCACAAAAAAGGGAAGCGTGACCATATCGGGGAGAGAGTGAGATAAGAGAAAACAGGGGAGCACATAAATACAACGAAAAACATGTGGATAGCTGCGTGTAACATGCATAGGATAAATATATGCACTTCTGACAATCGTCACAAAACATAAAAAGAGAAAAAAATGTACATAAAAAGAATAAAAAAAGTGATGATATGGGTGATCGAAAAGGTTGGCGATGAATTAGCATGGTCAAAAAGACTGATGATTACAAACAATGACAATCAGAAAACACGACGAAATCATGAAAAAGAAAAGTCCGTCAAAGAAAATGAATTTGAAATGTGTAAATATAATAGTAGACTTATGTATACGAAAGAATATTGTGATGATATAAATACTCGGCTAAAATTGAGCAGATTTGAAGTAGAAAAAATTTTTATTCAATTTGTAAATAAAACTAAATTTTATCAGAATCTAACACTTTGTCTTGAGTAAGAGTAAGATGCATTTCTAGAGAAAGCTTAAGAATGAGTTCGATTCAATGGTGTAAGCGAAGACATTTATATATGTTGATTAGAGGTTAGATACTATACGGTTATAGTCTCGTTTCTTCGACAATTTTCTCATTAGTTATGATACTTGAGGATGGACGAGAGCAACAACTCAAAATTTTTAGCTTAATCCATTTCATTATTTCTATTTCACGAAACAGATTCATATAAACTTTTGAAGGATAAATATAGATAAAGAATGTGATGACGAAAGGCATATATAATAGAAAGTCGAGAGCAATATGCAAACGAAGATAAAATCTTTGCATACTTTTCTCTATACAATATGATCCGGCAATATTTATCAGTAGCTGTTCCGGAATAGTACAAATGATAATAACTAGTGGTGGTAGAAAGAAATGTTTGTGCTTGAAAATTTGCTGCATTATTAGTGATTTCCATGAACTTCTTTCTAGATCAGT